GATAGATAGATAGATAGATAGTTAGATAGATAGATAGATAGATAGATAGATAGATAGATAGATAGATAGATAGACAGATAGAGCATATACGAGTAAGCAAATAGACACTAGGCTAACAGTAACATTAGAGGGAGAGCTAGACAGAGATTTCAAAGTAACGAGAACTTACCAAAGGAGGCAGGGGAGGAATATAGGTCAAGCCCCGTGTGTTCATAGTTGAACGAATTTCTTCAAGATCTCGAGCGAGCTGGGTCTTTGAAGCCCTTGTAGGCTGGTGTGGCGAGCTTCTCGAGCCAGTAGACACATTGTCGTGGTGCCGTGCAGTTAACGAGAGGAGATTAGAGGTCTCTGGGGGCCTGCTGACAGAACACGCACATTAAATCATTCTTTGAGGCATCCACAATTATTTGACCCTCCCACGTCCACTGAGGGTTTCTTTTTTTCTTAACTCTTCAGTGTCGAGGGGTCGACTTACGCAGGAATTGTCTTGTTTTCTGCCTGCGTCCAGCATCATATCGCCGGCCGACTGTTCAGTGGTACGAAACCCACAGTTTTTAATTTTTTTAAAGCAGTTTTTTCAACCTGTAGGATCGGTTGCCTGCGCTCAAGGGATATTATTTTGATGAAGTTCAAATTTGGAAAGTTGAAAAAGCAAGAACTGAAGAATAGTGTAAGCACAACTGTTGTTATAAGAATAAAACAGTTGTTTTTTTCCTCTCTGCTAAAAAGGTTTGCTTTCCAGGCTAAGTACATTTGAGCAGCTTGCTGACGTTGTGTGTAGCATGCAGTCACTCATGGATTCACTTGGGAACGTGGATTCAACACCTTTTTTAACACTGTAAAAGTATTCTGGATGAAGGACCCACCAATGTTAACGTCCATCCCCGATACGTCCGTAATTTCAAGTGGGCGGGGACTTTGACTTCCCAAACTCCCACTACAAGACAGGTCCCAGAACGATCTACTGGGGACTATACTGCCGTAAGCTGACAAAACACCGTTTTTTCATTTTGTCGCCAACAATGTTTTTATTTGCTAAATCAAGTATGATCAGAACCTTACTTGAGTGAAAAAATCCGGGTGAAACTACGACTAGTTTCTGAATAAATTCAAACTCAAATTGCAGAATCACTCTATTTTTCAATGTTAATGCTGACAAAAACTCTTTTTCTCGAAATTGCTCTTTCCAAAAAAAGGTGTTTGTCAGCTTACGGCAGTATAGTCAGCAATATCCACTCATTAGTCTAACATGAGAATGATAAATAACGTAACATTTGTATAGCGAAAGTTTCCGCTCAACAGCAAGCTCTATGCGCTCTACAATCCCCGAGAGTGAATCAGAAAGTGATGGAAGCTGTGAAATATTTTTAAAAAATAATTATTTAAAAAAAACAACAAAAAAACCCTAACTCGTAATGCTAAGAACATAACATTCTCCCTTCTCTTGGAATATTTTTCTCAACTTTGTATGCAGGATACCACCCTCCTCAGTCACTTCTGGAAGGCACAGGGGTAGCAATCTTCCGGTATACCTCTCAGCTCTGAATGTATTTACAGCTTTTGTTAGGTTCTGAATACGTTCAAACTTTCGTCCAGCAAGCTTATTATGTTTCTGAAAAACGACAACAACAACAACAACAACAACAACAACAACAACAAACCAACTGACGTCACAGGATGCAGAGACAGAACTCTAGGCTGGGTGATGCAAAACTTGGACCCCTTGCTCCTGTATGCACAGAGTTGGGGAACTTGCTTTGTGGGGAGCTGCAGATAGATAGATAGATAGATAGATAGATAGATAGATAGATAGATAGATAGATAGA